TTAATTGATATTTTTCCTAAGGAAAATAGTTAAGTGCAAAATGAATTAGGACATGTATTTAAAAATTGGATTACAGAATAGGATCTTCCATTGGGCAAGGCAAATAATAACTAACTTTCAACTGGGCTTCTGACTTTGCGGCTCGTTCAGAAATTGCAAGCTTATCTCGTAATTGTTGCATTTCTCCCTATGGCAAGATGAGGCAAGCACAACTCAGTTAAGCACTTAAAGGACACATAAAATATGCTTTCAGGTGTAGTTTGGTATGACATAATGAAATGTAACATGATCAAATGTATCTGTAATGTATAATTAGACTGAAAATACACTCTCTATGCCCCCCCCCCCCAAAAAAAATAATGTTGGAAGAACTTATTTGCTCCAAAAAGGAGTCCTACTTTAAAAGTCAAATTGTAATTTTTAAGTGAAATTCTTGCAAAGCCACAAAGAATTTTTGACAATTGCACAAAACAATCCGGTAAATAAGTTTTAGAGGTACGAATGACCATTCATAACTTTTAAAAGCTTGTACCTTGATTGAGTTGGCTAAAAGTAAAAGGTTGCGTCTTACTCAGACATGACTTTTTTTGGAGAGAGTAACTTTCACCAAATAATATACCTGCAAGAATCTTCTCTCTTCAAGCCATTGTTTTACCGGCATTACTTTGTCATTAGAATCTTTCCACTCATTAGCAACCACTGTAGCAACCCTATTTGCAGTAACCTTTGCACGAGCCAACTCCCGGTCAAGAGTTTTTCTTTCTTCCTGAGGAAGAGATAAAAGAGAATAGGTTTCACTGATTCAGCATATGAGGTACTACTATCACTATGGAACTATTCAGTCAAATATGGTGGCTAAGTGGCTTATTCTAATAGTCAATTACATTCATCTCTTGAACTTTGCGCTGGTAATCTCGAACAGCATTAGCGGCGGCACCACCAGCAAGAACAGCCTCCTCAAGCTCGCGCACAGTTTGGGTAAGCTTTTCAACCTCTGCAACCTTTTGCCGATGCATTTTATCCAATATTTTGTTCTCTTCCTGAAGTATTTCGGGATTAGACTGCAAACTAGACTACATCGGGAAAAAGTAGAAATCATTTAAAAAGAAAACCAACACCAACAAATCTTGTACCTGGCAAATCTCTATTTGTTTCATAAGCTCTTGATTCTTGTTTTGGAGATCATCAACCATTGAGGCTTTCGCTAATGCCGACTGCACTGTTCTCTCAGCTTCGAGTAAAGCAGCCTCCTTCGATTTGGTAAGACGGTCTAATGCCTTGTTATCATCTTGAAGCTTTGCAATCTGGATGGAATAAAGACCAAAATCATGTTGGTGATACATATCTCTTATTGAGCTCGTAATGTTACATGAAAAGAACAATAACCTCTTGTCGAGCTAACTTAAGTTCAGCCTCCAAAGGCGCAAGAATTGCTTCAATTGGAGGCATATCATCATCTTTTTGAGCAGCATGAACCCTCCGAAGTGTGGCTTCTGCAGCAAACTGAGCAGCCATGGAGGCTCTCTTCTCATCATTGATTTTCTTAATTTCAAGATTCTGTGAAGAGCAAATGATTCCATATTACATAAAAGATTTAATAGAAAGAAATTGAAAAATGAAGGTTAATGGAAGGGATTTATCTAGTACCTTGCTTTCAAGAAGAGACTCTGTCAGTTTGAGCTTTTCATTCACCTTTGCTAATTCATCAGTGAGCTAAAATAAAAGAATTGACAGATGAATCAAAATATATCATGTTTTGACAGAAAAAAAAAACAATCTGATCCCTTGAATTTAAAAATCATAACAAAACAGAATGCGGCAAACATTAACAATTTCACATACTTTAACACCTATTGCCTCGAATACGCATTTCGAAGACATTCAGAGTATATCCTAATGCTTCTAAATACAAATCACAATATTCAACTTTCCCTTGCCATTTGTGATGGATTTGAATTCTCAACACATTTTCAATACTAAACAAAAAACAAAAAAAACTCAGCAGAAAATAACAATATTGCACTATCAATCATCATACCTATCCACTTTAGAAAATCATCATCATACCTATCCTTTTTAAAATGGATAAAGCTTGAATATGTTAATTTCACATCAATGATTTTCAGAAATGACTAGTTTTTCACACTTTTGGGGGCCTGAATTATGACAACTTAAAGCATTTCTACAGAAAAAATGATAGAGAAGACAAACACCTTAAAGCTCGCATTGAGCTAAGTACATTCAGAGCTACCACACATTGGGTGAGTATTTACTATTAACAATAAATGATAGAGAAGACAAACACCTCTTCCACAGCTTTTTCCCTTAAGCGCTCAGAGAGCCTCAAAGCCTTTATCTCCGCTTGAGACTCGAACAATTCGCGCTCCTTATCTGCAAAAACAACAACCATCAACGGATCAATCAAACGCCATCAGGAACCAAATCGCACTGGATCCAGCTGACACTACTGACCTCTGAGCTCATTCTCAAGCCGGTTGAGCTCCACCTTCACCGGATCCGAGCCATGTAGCATGTTTATGAAGTCATCCGCGTCAAGACTCCGCCTCGCCGACGTCCTCCGCCGTGACGCCTTCCCTTCCTTAAACGAAGCCGAGGCAGTCAACGGATTCGGAGCCACTGATGCACCAGAGTCCGCTTGCGGCGGTCGCGCATTGCCACCACCGTCGCCGGAACTCCAGTCCGGCGCCCCCGTCACAACTCCGTCCCCGGTAAACTCCGACATCTCTGATCTATCCGCTTATCGCCCCTTTCACATCAAACACCTCACTTTTCGTAACGAGATTCGATTTATACAAATACAAATCCAGATTAGATATGATTAGTATCACTATCAGTATCGATAAATATGCAATTTGTTTAGCTAAAGTGCCATTTAGAGAGAAAAGCAAGGTACGGAGGGAGCTGAAGATGCTGTGCGCTTTTGTCCAAACGTGCCGTAAAGCTCAAAGTGCAGAGAACACTTTCTTTTGTTTAAAAATATGTATAAAAATTAAAAATAAAATTTATATATTTAAAAATTACGTTAAAATTTATAGAAAATAATGTAAGCTATGAGTATTTCGTTTTATGAAATAATCAATCAAAATAAAAAAAAATAAATAAAAAATTCGTGACTTTTAAATAATGAAGAATGTAAATTCTTTATGGGACAGGAGTAAAAAAGAAACTGCAAGGGCATATATTTTTTGAGTAAATATTTTTTGAGAAACTTCATATTATGTCTTAAATTTTAAGGTATTACATAAATAGTGCTCAATTTTTAAAAATTATTCCGAACACACTTTCAAATGCCAATCCCCTGAGCACAACTTGCATGAAAAGTGGCTTTTTACACGTCATCCCTTCAACTAGAAGCTGATCATGTCAACCAAAATAAAGCTACACCAAAGTAACAACGCGCAACTGGTAATCACGTCAACCAAAATAAGGGTACACCAAATAAAGCTGATCATGTCAACCAAAATAAAGTTGGTAATAAAGTTGATCACGTCAACCAAAATAAAGCTACACCAAAAATCACCACCTGCAACTGGTGATTGTTATTGTGTACCAATACCTCCAACCAGTCTCGTCGAGTCTCCATAGTTTGAGCAACGATGATATCGAGGGAATACTACTCTTTCACATGGCTTGGTTACGTCCTTTCCATAACGTCAAATGGTTACTACCTCTATTTGTCAAAGACCTTTTGAATAATTAATACGGAGTACCAATTTCTTTCTTTTAAAAAAAAGGTTACCGCCAATATCTCAACTTCTTTAGTGACAAGGTGGTAATAAAGTGTTGAATCCAAATATGAAAAAGTTCGTTACAACCCAAAAAAATCTCTCCATTTAATGAACGCCAAAATGTAACAACGAGATGGCAAAGTAATAGTAGATGAGCAACAGATTTTAATGTTCGAGTAATTTTACCGCATTGGTTTGAAGTGAACTCTTATGCATTGAATCGAATAAATTTGAACTGAATTTATAGGTAATGAATAGATTCGAACAAATTTAGATGATACTAAGACAACATTCTGATCAACTTATATTTTCTACTTGTTATTTATTCTTATTGTAAGCAGATCAGATCAGGTCAGATCAACGACAACTTTAATTATAACTATAATCAGATCAAATCAGAATAGACCAGACCAAATTAGATATTCAACCAAACTAAATTGATTGGTATTTATTTAGTTGTTATCAAATGACCCATTAACGGCTTAACGATAACCGTCGGTCATTTTGCAAGCATAAAGTTTTTTTTTTGAAAGTGCAAGCATAAAGTTTATTGTGAAAAGTTCAACCAATTAAACACAAATACTATAGATTTTGTTCTTTTTGTTTGAAAATTTCAGAATTGAATATTAGAAGAAACTGGAAGGATTCAGAAAATATTAGAAGGAGTTGGCAAATGTTGGAATAATTTAAGTGTTAAAAATTTACTCAATGAAATAATCACCCAAATAAATATGTAAAAAAACTCTAATTTTGGATTTAAAAAAATCCACCATTGGTTATGTTTGAGGTGGTATCCCGACATGTCCGCTAATGGCAAATCATTTTTTTGTCACTATTTATATTTTTGACTTTTTGCAAATGTTTGTATTTTGTGTTGTAAAGATTTAATTTGTACGAAATATAAACATTCAAACTATAACATCAAGGAATCACTTGAGAAGTCTTGATACCTCTAGATATAAGAATACTATTGTGTTTGTTTAATGAAGACGTATAAAGATGTTTTGAATATGATACATTTCAGTACCATAAACATTTTCAAATGAGATGTTTTGATATTTCTCAATTTTGAGAGACATCAATCACTCAATCTAGAAATACTAATATTTCTTTGAGCCGCGACAAGTCCACTATCACGCACCAATCACTCAATCTAGAAATACTAATATTTTGAGAGACCCATGTAACATAATTTTTCTTAAAAATAAGTTGGGTGACGTTTAATTCTCGAGCCAGCACTTTAAGGTTGCTTACGATGCTCTAAAAAAGATCATGTACACCATAATGCCCTCACCATGACTTTTTAATTCATGCACTAGCAATTGCGACACTTAACCATTCCTTTTATATAGAGAAGAAATTGATAAATTTTTTTTCAATCAAATAAAAGAGAGTAAATTTTTGACTTGGTGACATGGGAATCAATTTCACTCATACTTAATTAAATATGTCAACAGTTTTAAAATATTTTTTCTGTTTAATTATTTCAACCAAATTAGATAAACATTAATTTTTATTTCTTAATTAAAAATTGCATTTTATACTATGAATAAAATATTTGTTTGGAAAACAAATCTTATAAAACTATTTTTATAATCCACGTTGAATAAACAATATAATTTTTTTTTAATTATTGATTGTCTTTATAAGCTCAGCGCACTATTCTATAAAATTTTTTGTAAAACTACGTTTTCTTTTTTAAAATTTTTCTTTTTTTAAAGAATATCAATATAGTAGAAACTAAAATTTTATTTTACATTTTATAAACAACTTAATTCTTTTTTCTTTTTCCTATTTAGAATTTCATGTAATTTATTTCGTTTTCATCTTGTTATCTAAATGTATAAGATTGGAGTAGTTCAAACTCTCGCCTTATATTTAAATTATACTTCTTATACGATCATTGTTTAAGTTGACAATTGGGAAGAATGCAAATTTAGAGATCAAGAAAATAATTATATACATTATATTTTTGGAAAAATTATACTCCGTATACATTATCAATAGTATTAAAAATATGGGTAATTTGAATTATACCTATATATGGAATATGTTTGTTTTTGATGCACTGTCTTGGAAACAACTTCTCTACTTCTGAGTAGATATAGGCCCCGTTTGGCATCAGCGTCAGAGATTAGCATTAACGTTTTGAAAAAGTTATCTGACGGTAGCCTTTAGCGTTAGCTTTTTCAGAATTAATCTGCACCATTAAAATTTTATCCAAAACGCTAACACTAATCGAAAATGCTGTTACCAAACAAAGTCATAATGTATGAATGCACACACCCTCTCCAGACTCTAATTCCGTAAAATTCTACTAATTTGTTGTTGTTATTTTTTATTGACGTTTTAAAGCACACTCACACTTGTGTTTTTTAATATTTCAACGCTTTCATGTACTCGCAACCAAATTCACTTTTGCTTTATTTGATTTACTTATTTTATCACAAATTAAGCTGTTTGTTAAATATTTATAAGATCAAAGTTTAGTCATTTTCGTTACTCAAATGATAAAATAAGTCATGTCACTTTTCGTTCGGTAGACATTTTGATATAATTTTCTATACATATTTTTTTCCAATTCTGTCCTAATTTTCTTTCAAAATATAAATTAATCTAAAAATAACTTGTGTCTAATATTTCTATTTCAAATTTTAAAAGATTCTGATACTATTTCAACCAAAGTTGCCACACATTATCACAGTATGTAGTTCGGCCGTTGTTCAATTGTGCCGTGATTCCTGTGAATAAATAAATAAGTCTCACTCCAAAACCCTACGCCAAAACTCGAAATTCACAAGTTTCCCTCCACCACCCGTCCCGAAATCTCAGATTCCCTCGTCCTCGATATTCAAAAGTTCCAATCTTCAATTCAAAGGGCGCTTCAGGAATCCCAGGGAGTCGAGGATCATCAACATCCCGTTCGGTTCGAACAATTGGAGTGGAATTCTTGGATTCGTAGGGTTTGAGGGCGAGGGGATTGCCCGATGGCCGAGATTGTGCTGCGTGACGTCAGCAACGCTGGGCTCGTGGTCAGCGACCGCATTGGACGTGACTCTGGAGCTCAAACCGACCTCGAGGAGGGCCTAGAAGCTTCAAGATACGCAAGTCATCCGTACACAACGCATCCCAGAGAGGTAGGTATACAAGAGGGGAAGTGATTCGAGACATGTAGTTCTGGTTCAATGTATGGTTAACTGTGGTTAGATGACTGAAGTGTTGAATTTTTGTTATAAACCACAAGGTAGAGTTGCCTATGTAGTTGGTTTGATCAGCAGACAATCCGAGAGGGAGCATAAAAAATTGCTTTTGGGTTGAAACATAGAACTTGATGTGATTTCTAGTGATATTGGCACTCTTAAATTGGATTGTACCTTGAACTTGAGTAGTTGGTTGCCGGAAAATTTTGGTATTTCTTTTTAGATTGAATCTTTTAAGTTGATGTGGATGGGTACTTAAAGCAGCTTTTAAAGAACTAGATTATCATTTTTATGATGTTTTTTCCTTCAAATTGACTACCTTTGTGTCTTTTGGCACCAACTAAAGGACCATGGTACTAAGGACATTGATGTCATCCAACTCTCTAAGGTGGTCACATGAAGTTTTTACTCTATCTTTCTCTCTGGACCATACATCTTAGTTGGTGTAAATAGGTATTCGAGCTGAATATCCATGTAATCCCTTGTTTTATCAAAGATAGTTTGTGGACGTATCTTTCACCCATCATGAAAAAGGAATGAGTTTATTGTCAAGGATAAACCACAAATTGTGTTTTAGCCTATTCATTTGCCACGGTCACTCATAAAGCAGTTGCCTTATTATATAAGATTATGAGTGAGTAGTGATAAATAGTACTAGGTAAGTGATCTTGCTCTTGTTTATCTTGTTAAAGCTTTATCTTAATTTTTGTTTTTCAATGATGGAATATACATCGATAAATGAAGCTAAACACCTATAATAAAAATACAATAGCTCAGCATAATCTTACAAGAGTAGAATAAATGCAAATTAATTGTCTTTTCATCATTTTTTCACTATCGTGCACACACCACGAGTGTAATAAAAGGCTTTTACATTGAGAAACATCTAAATATTACTGTTTGAAATTGGTTATGTGCAAATGATTTGTTTTTTCACTATTGTGCACACACCACTTTAAGATGTGACTAACATGCAAGTTCAAATAGATAATTTTAACACCTTTTTGTTTTGAGTATCCTATTACATCTTAGCTTTCAAAGGACTTAAAATCATATAAGCTTGTTATTGTTATAGTGGCCTCCCTCTGTGGAAATTGTTGATTCATTGGAATTGCCACATCTACTCATTGAAAGATACAATGCATCTGGCGGGGAAGGAACTGCATTATGTGGGATTTTTCCAGAGATACGTAGAGCATGGGCATCAGTGGACGAGTCTCTGTTTCTTTGGCGGTTTGATAAGTGGTGAGTGTAACATGTTGGGCTTACAAGTTGGCAAGTCCTGCAAGAAAATATGTCTTCATAACTTATTTAGTGTACTTAAGTCATTTTTATTAGCATTCATATTAAAACATAATTATAACTTATTGATATTATTGTTTTTTACTAACATTGATGATGAAAGTTAGCAACAAATAAATAAGAAAATAAATAAGAAATAAATAACATTTGATGATGGAAGTTAGAAATACTTGGATATTTGAAATAAAACTGACACACATGTAGCTTGTTTGAGACTTTGAACAAACTAGGGAATTTTTGGAATGTGAGTGGTATTCCACTTATGATCTGGGTGTGCAACCATTGATAAGCAATTTCCAAACTGGTTGGCCCCATTAAAATACACCACCATATTCATGGTCATTTCAATGCAAGTAAACCCTCTATTCAATTTTTTTGTAAAGCATTTGTCATCGATCCGGGCCAAGGAGCTGCGAAGTTAATAACAAATCATGTGGTATATGCGCACCTTCTCTCAGTACCCAAGCTTACATGATGCACCATTTTCTGGATCTTTTATTCTTTTTTCATCACTATGATAATGATTTTTGCCCATTTAAATCCAGGGATGGTCAATGTTCTGAATATAATGTTGATGAACAAGCTATTTGTGCCGTTGGCTTAGCAAAGGCCAAGCCAGGCATTTTTGTTGAAGCTATCCAATATCTTCTAGTTTTAGCCACTCCTATTGAGGTAATAGAATTTCCTATCATGTCAATATCTCAAAGACTAATTTGTTTGTAGGTTATTTATTATGTATCTTAATGGTCTCTAATTTAAGTTCATTTAAATGTTTCCGATCATTACTCAAAATCTTACATTTCTTTTAACTGTCTTATTTGTCTAAAATATTATTAGAAATATGCTACAAAGTACAGATACAGATGTGTCTGAATAGATCTTTTTTCTCTTTAAATTTATGACATTCTTTTTTCTAGCTCCCGAGACCCCCACAATGTTAAACCAAATGAAACATACATTGTACATATCCCACTGAAGAGTAGGATTTGGGGGACAAGATATATGTAGACCTTACCTCTACCCCAAGGGAGTAGAGAGGCTCTTTCCAGGAAGACTGATAAATATAGATACAGAGTGTGAGGATTAAGGAGTGAAAAAACAACATACAAAGGCCAAAAAAAGAGCTTGACAAATCTGACCCTAACAACACCTGTGCTTAGTCCCTACAAAAACACTACAACCCTAACCTGGCATTTCCTAGAACTCCTATTAGAGATTGGTGGAATCAGTTAATTTATTTCAGAATCTAGTTTAAACAATTAAAATCTTTCATTCTTTTTCTCATTAGCATTTGTTGTTAATCATGCCTTAGCATTAGTCATTGGACGTCTATGGTATTTGTAATATCAGACCCACAAATCTTGTCTACTATTATAGACTGTAAAAACCTAGAAGACATTCCAGGGAAGACTCCAACAAACTGGAAAGTTTTTTTTATCGTGCTAGATTCAAAATAATATTGAAATAGTAATTAAATTTTCCAACTGATACTGCTTTTGCTGCTTCCTCATATCCTTAGAGACGTTTAAGGTCGTCAAGCCCAAAACACTCCACTCTGTGGCCAAACCATTGCAGTCTGTGTTCTTTTGCTTTATAAACAATTGGACGACCTCATTTTGTATTCCGTCTAAACACCCACAATGTGCGTCCCATCAAATGATCAGTAAATCCATTTTCACATTAGTAGGTCAGCCGTTTGAAGAATTAAAATATATTATTACTACATATGTGGTATTACTTGGTCTTGTTGTTGTCGGGGTTTAGTAGTAAGAGACCAAACAAAATAGGTGCATGCCTCCTAAATGACCTTTGACCAGCAATTCCAGCCCAAGAAACTAAGAAAGATGACCTGGATCAAGGGGTTTAACACAAGCCATTAGCCATGATCAGAGGTCTCTTGTGTCACCTAGTCTCTGAGTGCTGCCACAGGTACAACACTCTTCCTTCCTATAGTATTTGACTGTAGTATACATTAACCAAGGTGGAAAGCATGCTGTATGCTTGATCCTTCAAGGGAACCACTTATAAACCTCATAACTGAATTGCAACTAAGAGTTGAAACTTAGATCACTTGTTTGGAGGTTCATTAAACATGATCATTTATGAAAGTTGAGTGGTTTGAGTCTAATAAACAAGTAGCAACTAGTGGTTGTGGTCAACATGATCTTCACAAATTGAAATGGTGTGAAATTCCCATTTACAATTTCAATGTTCATTTTCCATTGCAATGGTCAAATAATGAAATTTAGATTATGCCTGACACACTTCTATTTCTACTGGTTGTATTTCCCCTATTATGCAAACATGCTTTACCTATTTCTTTGGGTGTATGCTCTCTTGTTCTTTTATTGTATTATTTTCAAAATTTTCTGCTTTAGTAATTATCTACCAGTGATTTATACCTAGTTTCTACTGTACTCAGTTAAATCTTGTAGGGGTATGTTGCTCTGGAAACAATGGTGGAATTGATCCATATGCAGAGGTGACGCTTCAGTCACTTCCTGAATATACCGTACCATCCGATGGAGTGACTATGAGTTGCATCACTTGCACTGACAGTGGTCAAATTTTTCTTGCTGGTCGTGATGGCCATATTTATGCACTGCAATACACAACAGGGTCAGTGTGGCAGAAGCGTTGTCGCAAAGTTTGCTTAACTGCTGGTCTTGGAAGTGCTATTTCTAGGTATATTATTGTCCTGGCGTCCAGCCCAAAAATCCCATAGTTTCTGTTGCAGTGTAGAGGCAAAATGTGAAAATTTGCTGAAGAGTTATGCCCTTCCGTAGTGGCATGCAGTGCAAAGTCCTTTTCTGTGTTCAGCATCTGCATTTTCTTTTTTCCTCACAGAAGATTGAATTTTTTAATCATTTTACTTGTGTCATCTATTGACATTGCTGTTTGTTTTTCCTGTAGGTGGGTTGTACCAAATATATTCAAATTTGGAGCAGTTGATCCCATTGTTGAAATGGCTGTTGATGATGAGAGGCACATCTTATATGCACGTACTGAAGAGATGAAAATTCAAGTATTTTCAGTCTGTCCAAATGGGAATAGCCCCCTTAAGAAGGTAGCAGAAGAAAGAAATCTGATAAATCAGAGGGATGCCTATGTTGGAAGGCAGCCAGCTGCACCAAGAGCACCTCGAAGTTCTAAAACATCTATTGTTGCCATCTCTCCTTTGTCCATCCTAGAGTCAAGGCTGCTACATGTCGTTGCTGTCCTGTCAGATGGCAGAAGAATGTACCTTTCTACATCTGGTGGCAACAGTGGTTCTACTGCTGGAGGTCTTAAAAATCAGAAACCAAATTGTTTGAAAGTTGTAGCTACTAGGCCAGCACCTCCTTTAGGGGCTGGTGGAGGACTTGGGATTGGGGCAATATCTCTTGCCAGTAGATCCCAGACTGAGGATCTATCACTGAAGATAGAGTCTGCATATTACTCCACAGGGACTCTCGTTCTTTCTGATTCGTCTCCATCTACTGTGTCTTCTCTTCTTATTATGAACAGAGATTCTAGTGCTCAATCAGCTTCAACTAGCTTTGGATCTGGTGCAAGGAGTTCTCGTGCACTCCGTGAATCAGTATCATCTCTACCAATTGAAGGAAGAATGCTGTTTGTGGCAGATGTACCTCCTCTGCCAAACACAGCAGTCAACGTGGTATCTCTTTATTTACAGCCAGAGTTGTCTGGTGAATCGTGTGAAAAGAATTTTCAAAAAATTTGGGCTAGAGGCGATCTTTCAACCCAGCATATATTACCAAGAAGAAGAGTTATAGTGTTCAGTACCATGGGCTTGATGGAAATTGTAATTAACAGGCCAGTTGACTTACTTAGGAAGATGTTAGAGTCCAATTCTCCTAGATCACTCTTAGAGGATTTTTTCAATCGTTATGGAGCTGGAGAGGCTGCAAGTATGTCTTTAATGCTTGCTGCAAAGATAATCGACAGTGATGCCCTCATAAGTAATACTGTTGCTGAAAGGGCAGCTGAAGCTTTTGAAGATCCTAGGCTGGTTGGACTACCACAGGTAGAAGGTACTGGTGCATTCTCAAATGCCCGAACTCCATCTGGGGGATTTAGCATGGGTCAGGTTGTTCAAGAAGCCGAGCCTGTTTTTTCTGGGGCTTATGAAGGGCTCTGCTTGACATCATCAAGGTTACTTTTACCATTGTGGGAGCTTCCTGTTTTTGTGGTGAAAGGTGACAAGTCAAATTCTGCAGTGACACCTATAAATGGGTTCATTGTATGCCGACTTTCTCCTGGCCCAATGCAGGTTCTTGAGGACAAGATTCGTTCTCTAGAGAATTTCCTTAGGTCTAGGAGAAACCAGAGGAGGGGGCTCTATGGTTCTGTCGCTGGTCTAGGTGATTTGACTGGCTCAATTTTGATTGGTAGCAGTGAAGATCTTGGCACTGGTGATAGAGGCATGGTGCGGAATCTGTTTGGATTTTATTCTCGCAATTTTGAGTCCAGTGATGCTGGATTTTCAAATAAAAGGCAGCGGCTCCCTTATAGCCCTGCAGAACTTGCTGCTATGGAGGTAATTTTAAGTTCTTTAATTTTGATTTGTTTTGTTTTTGGCACCCAATTTTCAAACCAGTTTGTGCTTCAGGTAAGAGCAATGGAATGCATAAGACAGTTGCTCCTTAGATGCAGTGAAGCACTATTTCTACTCCAACTTCTTTCACAACATCACTTGACACGCTTGGTTTCCAGTTTTGATGATAACATGAAACAAGCACTAGTTCATTTGACATTCCATCAGCTAGTCTGCTCTGAAGAGGGCGACAAACAGGCTACAAGGCTGATATCTGCTCTTATGGAGGTAGCTCATTTGAACTTAGAAGTCAGTTTCCTCAATATTCGGTAGAGACACTTGGTTTGAATAGTTTCAGTGTTACTATTTTTCCAGTGTGTGTGTGTGTGTACTCCCTCCGTCCCAAAACAAAGTTTCTGTTCACTATTCACAAGGTCAAACTTTATCTTCTTCCCTTAGTCTTTACATATTTTCATTGATATTTGAAAAAATAAAATAGTCAAGCCACCTCTTATTTTTTAGAACTTTGGATGTAGTTTTTAAGTATATACTTCCTCCTTCCCAAAAATAACATCACATTACGCAAAACAAAGCAAACATTTAAGTTTTCCAATTCATTTAATTTAAGTATTGGATTATTGGTTTAGAAATAAATAATACAACTTACATATTTAAAAACTACGTCAAAAGTTCTACCAAACAAGAGGCGGCAAGAATATTTTATTTTATCAAATAATTAATGAAAATGCACAAATAAACAAAAGTTCCCGTAACTTTTGATTAGTGAAGTGTGGCATTCTTTTTAGGATGGAGGGAGGAAATTTTATTTTTAGATTCTACACCAAATCTCAAATAATATGAATTGAGATTAATTTCAGCTAAACATTGTAAATCACGTCAAGAACTTCATCGTAGGACAGAGTATATAATTGCACACACAAACATGTGTGTGACTGTGTGTGTATTCACATTGGCTGAAAAGCACACGAGAAAATCTCTTTTCACTTGCTAGATTATGGAGACCCTGCCCAGATTATTATTTTTCATATGTTTCAGCATTATACTGGTCCTGATGGCCGGGGAACAGTTGATGAAATCAGTGCTAGGTTGCGTGGTGGTTGTCCAAGCTTTTATAAAGAGTCCGATTACAAGTTCTTCTTAGCTGTTGAATGCCTAGAGAGAGCTGCCGCTTCTTCCGATGCTCCGGAGAGAGAAAACCTAGCCAGAGAGGCTTTTAATTACCTAAGCAAAGTTCCTGAGTCTGCAGATTTACGAACAGTATGCAAACGTTTTGAAGATTTGAGGTCAAGATCTGTTATTGTATATTTTCACTCTCTTTAAATAAATCTCATTTCTGCAAGTTATCTTGTTTTATTGGAACTTTGATAATTGCAGATACTATGAAGCTGTAGTTCAGTTACCTCTACAAAAGGCACAGGCTGTTGACCCTGCTGGCGATGCATATAATGAACAAATTGACCCTATGATTCGAGGACATGCACTTAGTCAACGTGAGCAATGTTATGAAATTGTTTCTAATGCTTTGCGTGCTTTGAAAGAAGAAGGGTTCCAAAGAGAATTCGGGTCTCCTATCAGACCGGTTGCCCAATCTGTTCTTGATCAGGCCTCAAGGAAAAAATATATATGCCAGATCGTTCAGATTGGTGTTCAATCTCATGATAGACTTTTTCACGAGTATTTGTACCGTAGACTAATTGACTTGGGACTGGATGATGAATTATTGGAATATGGAGGCCCTGATTTGGTGCCTTTTCTGCAAAGTGCTGGTCGTGAATCATTGCAAGAGGTCGGGATATACTCTATCCTTTGTTGCTTTGATATTCTTTAAATGTGATTGTATTTGTTATGATTCATGAATCTAGATTACTCAAAGTCATTTTGGGCTTCTTTCAGTAATCTGACTACTGCATTCATTCTTTCACTAATCATTTTGCTTGTACAGGTTCGGACTGTTTCTGGAGTGATGTCACCAACATCTCCACAGGGTCATTCAAGAGTACCTATGCCATCTAATCAAACAAAATATGTTGAACTTCTGGCTCGTTATTATGTCTTGAAGAAGCAACATATACTTGCAGCCCATGTTTTGGTTAGACTAGCAGAGCGGCGTGCTGCAGATGCAGGGGATGTGCCTTCACTTGAACAAAGGTTCTTCATTTGTCTTTTCTGAAAATTATCAACCATCCAACACTCAGTTTTTAAGATCAGAAGTACATAACTATTCTGTGTTAATTCCTTCATTATCTTAATGGATAGCGTAAAGTAGGAACATTAATTTTTGAACTGCTCAATCAAGAGTCACCCTAGTGTCACAATCAAGAGTGTATGTGGAATATATCCTTAACTTGAACTTAAAACATGCAATATTTGTAAGAGGGGCCTTTTCTTTCATTGTTTGATTGAAATGCATAAGAACTAGGAGCACACCAACAGTCATAATTTATGAGCAACTGACTGAAGGAGATTCAGTCAAGTGTTTGTGGAATATTCTTTTTTCTACCAAATGCCTTAAATCATCTTAACTTGAAGTCTTGAACGTAAAATGCAATAGCTCTAAAAGGGGCTAGCATGAACATCTTCTTCATAAAGAAGTTTTATCCAGAAGACACATTCCTTTTTCAGTGCAGGGTGACTCCAATAGCATACCATGATGTTGTGAATATAGATGCAAATAATTGACTGAAGGGGTCACATCCATGCTATATGTGAAACAAAAATGGTGCTCATCATCAGCACCTTAATCCTACCTATGTTGGAGTGAGTTGTGGCCTGTGGGTGGCATGAAATTTATCCTGTGTCCATTAATAGATTAAAATAGGCTAGCACTATAAAATCTTGTAAAAGGCACATATTGGCGTAGTTTATGCTGGATACCCTGCCTATTGCAATAATGAGACGTCAAACACCATACGATTTTCCTCTTGCATGGAAATATCTGTGAGACTGAGACGACAATAAGTTGAGGCTTGAGATGGTTATCATAGTTTTGTTTCATTGCGAAATGGCATGACTGGAAACGAAAATGGTGTAATTACAAAACAACTACTCCGTATGTAATAGGCAAATATAGCAATATGATGCAGATTTATATTTTTATTTGGATTTTTTGTGTTACTTTCAAAGTCTATGTGTTACATCAATTTACAAATCATCATATGCTACACACTTTGGATTCATATGTCAAACTACCAATTAGCAAATCATCGTAGGGATTTGGATGCATAGATGACTAGGTGAGGAAGACTGGTAAAGCAGTCATACTCAGAGATGGAAAAGCAATAGCTAAAATGAAACATGTTTGGGTTCATGAGTTTTTTTACATTACTACGTAATGAGATAGGTTTTTAGCTTGCAAGACAAAGAATCATTTACTACACATGAAAACTACCAGCGAAGGAAGTTCTTTGCAAAATAGGTCAAACTTGCAATATCTTCCTTTTTTATTTTTATTGGATGGCTTTTTCTGTTGTTGAGTTGTTTTCTCCCTTTCCCTTTTTTGTCAATGCCAGGCGTCAGTACTTGAGTAATGCAGTCCTACAAGCAAAGAGCGCCAGTGAAACTAATGGTGTGAGTGATGCGGGTCGGAATGCTCTTGATAATGGGTTGTTGGATTTACTTCAGGGAAAGCTAACAGTGCTGCAATTTCAAATAAAAATTAAAGACCAACTGGATGCCATGGCTTCTAGGTTGGAGGCTTCTTCTAGTACATCTGAATCGGCTGTAAATGGCACTGTACCTAGTGGTGGTCAACCTGTTGACAACAAATTTTTACAGTCTTTAAAAGAAAAGACTAGGGAGTTATCATTGGATTTGAAGAGCATCACTCAACTTTATAACGAGTATGCTATGCCCTTTGAGTTGTGGGAGGTACGGTAACAAGTGTCAATCCTATGTGTGTTATTGTTATTCTCCTTTCTTTGAAAACTCTTTCCATCAAAGCCATATTTTTTCATTTAATCATGCATTGGACATAATCTGTTGTGTTGTAGGTTTTGATGAGGACTGACTTGGTACAACTACTTTCTTGTAGGGAATAACTATATTGTGCTTTAAAAAAAATTATGCCTTTTTGAACTCTTGTTGCCTTCTTGCTCACAGATATGCCTGGAAATGTTATACTTTGCAAGCTATTCTGGTGAAGCAGATAGTAGCATTGCACGAGAGACTTGGGCTAGGCTTATTGATCAAGCACTCTCAAGTGGTGGCATTGCTGAAGCTTGTGCTGTTTTAAAGAGGGTTGGTTCTAACATATATCCGGGAGATGGCGCTGTTTTTCCTTTGGATACTCTTTGCTTGCATTTAGAAAAGGCTGCACTGGTATGAATCATTTTTTAGCTTCCCTCAGCTCGAAAATTTTCCAAAAAATCCACCTACGTGATACCTAATTTTGCTTCTAATATTGGCTGAGCTACTAAGGCCTCCTTTGTTGGCTTTTCATGTTTTTTTGTTATGTTTAAAATTTCTAAAATACATGTTTGGTCTACATGCTGTGCATGCATGATGTATTATTGATTATAAAAATATATTCAAAGTAAATTTCATTAAAATTCTAAATGCTTATGAATTGTATTTAAACAGGAATTTAATGAAAATCACGGAAATGTCAAATCCCTGTTTTCAACAATTTTAAAAATTCTGTTTTTTCTAAAATTAAAAATATGTTCAATGTTTTTCTTTGAAAGTATGATGCAAAACATTACCAAATACCACCGTAGTTGTTGATAGTGAAACTGTGCTTAAAAGGGTTATGCATAATAGAATTCCTGCTTCATGTATCACATCTTTGCTGATCAGTTTAGATGGATTAATTTATTTTATTCTATTCATCTAGGATCGAGTTGCTAGAGGTGTTGAAACTGTTGGAGATGAAGATGTTCCAAGAGCGCTTCTAGCTGCCTGCAAAGGTGCCACTGAGCCTGTATTCAATACATATGATCAATTGTTATGCAGTGGTGTGGTATTGCCAACTCCAAACTTGAGGTTGCGTCTCCTCCGGTCAGTATTGGTGGTGCTCCGTGAATGGGCGATTTCTGTCTTCGCCAAGAGAATGGATACAAGTGTAGCTGGGGCCTCTCTAATTCTTGGTGGCACTTTGTCACTCGGGCAGACGGCTAATTTTAGTAAAGGCGTTCGTGACAAAATAACAAGTGCAGCAAATAGGTTTGGCTTCTTGAAACATTATGATGGTTAATAATAACTGGGTTCATTTTTAGATTTTTTAATGTTAGATCCAAACAAAACGGGTGTCTTGGCGGACCAGTCGACTGTTTGACTTTGAAGTCACGGGTTTGAGTTCTTGAACTGCATACATACCCTTGTGGTTGTTCCCTTCCCCAAACCCTAGCTAAGTAGGAAGTCGGGAACACTTTGTGCTCGAGGCTGCCCTTTATGTGAAATCCAACGGTTCCAACCTTACACTACACTGTTAGTATCAACAATAACAAACCTGATAAAATCTCACCAAAAACAGGGTGTGGGAGGGTGTGTTACTCTTACTCGAGAGTAGAAAGCCTGGTTCCAAGAGACCCGGGGTCAAACATAGAAACACCTTAACACGAATAGAGTAAAAGAGCATACACAAGAAGCATCCACACTGACACTAGCAACTGGACCCAAAGCTCAAAACAAAGAAAACACACTCGAAAAAGCTACATACTAAGTTTAAAAACATACCACCAAAAACTACAAATTAAGGCCCCAAGGTCTCTAAATTTAGATCTCCAGGCGATTCTATCTAAAGCCATGCCCTCGATTAGATCATGAAGGTGTAACTCCAGTCTAATCGCATCCTTCCGATGCTAGTATCATCAATGAATTTAAGTAAATATAAATTCTAACCTGACAGCATGCTTTGTATTGATTTACTGGGCATGGTTTATACTCTAGGATACCTGCGTGGAGGTGTTGGAACTTTAGGGCTTGTGTGGTTGGGGGATTTTGGTGGGAAGTCGAGAGAAAGATTGGTTTTTTATTACAATATTTGTTTATAATTTTTCATCTCTACTTACTTTCCAATCATGTAGATGCAAGATTAAATTAAGGTGTGGGTTCAATCATGTAGGACCAAACGTATAAAAAATATATTCTAAAAATTCCAAGAAATGCATCTTTTTTCTTCATCTTCTTTTGGTGTGGGTTCAATCCTTGGTGGGGGTATGGTAACGGGGAAGGGAATCAGGCGGGCTACTCCCTTCACTATAACAAATGCAACTTCTCTTATGATGGTGTGCTCTTTCTAAGGCATTATTTCATTATCAGTTTTATTCCCCTTAAAATCTATTAGTGCCTTGTGTTGAGCCAGAGGCCTCTTGGAAACAACCTCTCTACTTCCAAGCAGGATAAGGTTTACGTACATACCTTCTTAGTAGGGTTAAGGTCTGGTACAAACCATCCCGGACTATATTCTTGTGGGATTCTACTGGGCTTGTTTGTTGTAATTTTTTAGTGCCTTGAATGTAAAAATATGTTATTGTTTTTATGGCCAGGTATATGACCGAGGTACGGAGGCTGTCTCTCCCACAAGTTCAAACAGAAGCTATCTACCGCGGCTTTAGAGAGCTTGAAGAGTCACTCTTGCATCCATCAGCTCCCTTTGAGCGCTTCTGTTAGTTCGCTCTCAGGTTCATTTGTATCACTACTCCAAGATTCTCTCTTTTTCTTCAACATCTGAATTTGCCCATACAAAGAGTGTCTGTTCTTTCATCAAGATTTGAATCCTAGCTCATATTTTAACATGTTTTCCCATATTATTTGAAGTCAAACTCACATTTTAACATGTTTTAAAGCACATCTATGACTCACCTAACCCAATCAGCATTCATAAAAAGGATGAATCCCATCCTTAGGCTCCTGTGTAGAGACGGTGTTCATCTTCTTTCCTGCCCCAAAAACAGAGTCGTGTTTATATACATCATGTATTATAATTGTTGTCATTGATATTAATCATATTATTACTATTGCGTAAATCGAGTGTCTTTAGTAGATGCATGTTTTTGGAAGAGCCGTGCTATAATGGCATCAAGGATGACACCATAGAGACAGACAATAAGTGTCTAAGCGTCAGTGCGAAATTGTATATGGTGTCACATATATGTTATACTTGGTACACTACTTTTTTCCTTTTTGAAATTTGCTTGGAGGTTTTATTGAAATTGACATATTTATTTATTTATAATAAAGTGATATTTTGCAGGCAAAACTTACCTCACCTTTTGGCTGACCTGCTCAAAAATTCTTACTTTTCTATTTTGGTGTAAAATTATCTCACTTTTTTGAGATATTGCATATCAAAGGCTGACGTAAATAGAAAAAAATTTAACAAAATGCCGATGCAGCAATACTTTTTTTTATTTATATTGGTCAAAATAATTCCACCTTTTAATGTTTTTCAAACCAATGCTAGTTTTGATATTGAGTTACTTGAAGATTGACATGACATGATTATAAGTAAATGTATGTGCAGATTTATTATACTCCATCCCTTCTATAATTAAAGTTTTGTTGCAGATAATGAAGCTTTATTAAATTTATTTTCAACTAAATTTATTTTGGAAATGGTATAAGATTTTAAAATAAAATTTATATATGAGTGCATTTTTTGTTATCCTGGAGTAAAATCTATATTAAATGCTCTAGAAATTAGTAAGTGACATGACATGTAACGACTAATTAATGATAAGTAAAGAAAGAAGAAAGTACTCTTGTTGTTCCCATTTCAATTACTCCGTATCTGTTTTGGTCTACGACGTCTAATTGAAGTTTTTTCAAATTATTTTATACAAAAATGATGTATAATTAAAAATTATATTAAAAGATTTACAAAACTAATGGTGATATGACTATATTATCTAATCAAATGATTATCAAAAACCAGGAAAAAATGTAAATAAAGTTTAATCTAGTAAATAGTAAATATGTAATTTAATTTGAGACTGAAAGAGTATGATATTTGAATATTGTGTTGAAACGCTTTAGTTTTGGGATAAAGAGTATATTATTTGGACTCATAAGAGCTTGGTATTTTGAAATATTTTTGTCAAGATAATTTTGTTTGTGTGTAACCTCGGTCACATAAAGAAGTCCATAGTTTAATTTATGAGAAATTTATCCAAATGGTACTAAAATATAGTACCATATATTTTCATTTCTCAATATAGTACCACTGTTGAATGTCCACTAGTCATTGTACATCGGTCATTGCTCAAGTAAATGTCCACCATTACTGGACATTATTCAAAATAAATGTCCACCACCACTAGGGATTATTCCGACAACAAGACATTATTCAAAAACTATTTATGAATAAAAAAGTTTAAGTACTACATTGAAAAATGAATATTGTTTTAGTACGGAGTACTATTTAAGACAAATTTTACTTAATTTTTTGCAAAAAAATAAAACTATTAATAAACATTTGTTTGAAAGAGAAATATAGTGCATGTTTTTTTTAGAACATTTCAATAAGAAAAGTGTGAATTTTGCGGGATGGAGAAAATTAGACGCTTGATTTTCGAGCCATTCAAAGTAAAGTGTGAACTTCTTTGGGTTTGTTTTTTTAATCTCCCTATCTTCTTTTATATTTATTTTTTTATTTTTTAAATACTATTAAGTCAAATTGTAAACTAACAGAGGAATTAATGAGTAATTGAATATAATACCACGTACCTATTTAAAAAATTTATATCTTAGTGTAAGAGGCTGTTTGGTAACTTCTGAATCGATAAGTGCTGAACCAGTAAGAGGTCTGAACCATTAAGTGCTGAACCAGTAAGAGGTCTGAACCATCAAAAGCTAGTATATTGCTTAACTATTCAGAGGCAAATGTCTGATCAATTCAGATAAGAGGTCTTAACCATTCAGACTCTGTATAATGCTTAACCATTCAGAGGCAAATCTCTTAACCATTCAGACATATAAACCATTAAGAGGCTGAAACAAACAGTCCGAACCATTAAGTGCTGAACTATTCAAACATCTGAACCATTAAGAGGCTGAAACAAACAGCCCCTAAAACTTTGGCCGTGTTAATGTGGGATTGTTTTGCGTGATCTTTATTCTTTTATTCCTTTGCTTGGGAGTAATATTCTTATTAATTACTCCCTCCGTCCCATTTTATAACGCCTGTTTCGGTTTACGATTTTTGACTGAAATTATTTTCAAATCATTTTATATGACAAATGGTATAGAATTAAAAAATAAAAATTACATATCAAAATACTACATCAAAAGATCTACAAAACTAGTAGTGACAACAATATTTTATTTTATCAATTTGCTAACAAAAATAGAGAAAGAAAGTGAATGAAGTTTGACCCTGTGAATAGTGAACATGCATTATAATTTGGGACGGAGGGAGTACATAGGGAGTAAGTGTTTTGGACAATTCTAATGGTGTTTGACAATGCTAGCGTACGCTAAAAGCTATTGTTAGATATCTTTTTTAAAGTGGTAATACTAAATTCTAATATTGTTGCCAAATAAGGCTTTGGTTAAATTTTTTTTTTTTGGCATTTTTTTAGAAAAGTGGCAAATCTAATTTAAGATAAAGAAATAAATAAATTGAATCATTTATTATTGTTGTTATTATTAGTATTATTATTATTATTATTAGTATTTTGGTCATTATTATTATTATTATTATTATTATTATTGTTGTTGTTGTTGTTGTTGTTATAAAAAAAGGTAAAAGCAGATGCAAGATAAAGGTGGGCACACGTCTTCCTCCACCAAACATGAAGAAAATAAGAGACTTTGGAAAAGTATAAAAACTTTGCGTCCATTATACACACACTTATACACCTACCATTCACATAAATACAATTTACTATGTAAACTTAGGAGGCCTTCCTCGGCTGACATCCTTAATAATTACTCCTTCCGTCCCAATTTAAATTGCTTATTTTGACTTTTGGGCATATTTAAGGAAAATAAAAAATAAAGTTGATTTTCCGAAATTGACAATACCTTTTAGGAGGGGTGATGATGAATGAGAAGATAAAGTGGAGAAGTGTGACTTATTTTAGGGGTAGTTTAGGTATTTTTATTTTTAAAAATTTACGAAAACAACTAACAGGCAACTTATTTTGGGACGAAGAAAAAAGGCAAACAGACAATTTAAAATGGGACGGAGGGAGTATATTTTTTTTGACAAGAATTAATTATTGGCATATGAATCTATGATACTTGATAACTGAGAATAGTGATGAGTTAGTCTTTCAATTAATCACCGCAAAAACGACGTTAAATTGATGCCAAAATTTATACTAATTTTTTGAAATGATCCTTTTCAATTAAGTGTTTTCTCAAAAAGTTGTGATTCTGTGATCATAAAATCTGCGTGTAAGTATTGAATTTAACATACTAAATCACACCTGCCGTCCGCCGGTAAATGCTGGTTCAAGTCACTCTTTGATTTTTTAAAAAATTTTAAACCTAAAAATTTGGTGAAATTCGTGTGTATGTTTGGTGAGCTTTCCAGTGAAGTATGATGAGCTCTGTAGTAGGATGAGCTTTGAAACTTTAAAATTTTAAAAATTTAAAGTGTCAAAAAATTATGGTGAGCTTTTCCATACATTCTGGTGAGCTTCGCAGCTGCCTTTGGTGAGTTTTGCAGTCGATATATTTTTTTTAAAGTGAGCTTTGGGGAATTACTATCTTGAGTAATTTCAAAGTAATATTCTCGGCGAACTCACCTCGTATTGCACGCGATCGTCTTAGTCCTGTTAGAGGTTGATCAGGATGTCATGGATTGAAGTAAAAATTCAAGTTTAACCTATAAAGTTTTGTGATTCGTGGATGGCTCTTGAAATACAAAAAACTCAAGTTTAATCTTTAGAGTTTTGTGATTCATACTCCGTATCATTTTTATCTATGGTCCACTATTTTCAAGTTTCAACCACAAAAATTTATTTATTTTTAAACTTTGAGATCATCATGTTTAGAATGAGTTGAGACATCATTATACTATTCAACAACCGAGTCAGCGATTCCCATAGCTTAGAATTTTCACTGAACTTTTTCTCCCTCACCAAATTTGCACAAATAAAAACCCCCCAGAAAAGTGAAAACCCGGGGGAATAAAAAGAAACCATAATCAAGATCCAACTTGCACTCATTTCAATTTCCTTCTCTCGTTCCGTATTCGATCTGTTATTCACTCGTCTTCTACCAAGACTATTTCTTGAGAACTCTCCTAATTCCTGTATAAGGGGATTTGAGGGAGGCATTGTTCAACTCCTGCAAGAGGAGATTAGGAAGGGATTTTGATTGATTTTGTGCTGTATAAGAATATAGTTCATTCTTGTGTGTGTGTGTGTGTGTGTGTGTTTGTGTCTAGGGTATAGTTTAAATTTGTGTGGAATGGCCACTGCGGAAGCCTTGTCTGTGATTCCCGCTGCGGTTCTCAGGAACCTCTCTGATAAGCTCTACGAGAAACGCAAGAATGCTGCACTTGAGGTGGGTGTTTATGGGTTTTTTTTTGCATTTGGTTGAATTTTGAAGCTTTTTAGGATTCGGGTTTCAGAGGTTATGAATAAAGTTTGTGTTTTTGATGCAATTTGTTTAGTTGGAGGGGATTGTGAAACAGTTGGCCGTGGCCGGTGATCATGACAGGATAACTGCAGTGGTCAAATTGTTGAGCGAGGACTATGCTTACTCTTCCCAATCCAATCACCGGAAAGTAAGTTCTTACCAGAGTTAGCCTTATTGCTGGCCCCTTTCTGGTTTTTGATTTTTATTTTATAATTCTTGCGTGGTTTTGCGGGTTTAGGGAGGATTGATAGGGTTAGCTGCTGCAACTGTGGGTTTAACTTCTGAAGCAGCAAATCATCTTGAGGTAATGGGTTTTACTAACTTGCAGTGTTCATAGTCCTTAACTCTGTCTAGTATCTACGTTAATGTTTGCATTTATCTAAAATTATTGGCATAGATTACCGTTCACTTTTAATTTTGAATCAAAATTTCAGAGAGATGGGAGAAATCCAATTTCTGGAAGTTTTTAGTTGTGGTGGGTAGTTCTAATTGCTTTTCCTTTTTTATTCACTATGTACCTTGTCCTGATGTAATTTGACAGCAAATTGTGCCACCTGTCCTGAACTCCTTCTCCGATCAAGATAGCAGAGTTCGTTATTATGCCTGTGAATCTCTGTATAATATTGCAAAGGTGAGAGAGCAAGGTTTTATTCATTTTTGTTTCCTTTTTGAAATTTTTTTGTTAATGTGAAATACTTTGCAGGTAGTGAGAGGGGAGTTCATTGTATTCTTCAACCAGATATTTGATGCTCTATGCAAGCTTTCAGCTGACTCAGATTCGAATGTACAAAGTGCAGCTCATCTTTTAGACCGACTTGTAAAGGCAAGTAAATAGTCCCTTCACCTTTCAAACATGCCTTCATTTCACTGATGTGAAGTCATACAAGTGTTAAAGGCAGTAGAATTATTATGGTCCAACGTTTGTAAGAAATTTAGAAATTAAATTCTGTGAGGAGTTGAATTCTGAAAATGGTACTCATAAAATATTTCTCAGTGGAA